GAACTCATTTGGGATAATACTAATACCAAGGGGCTATTGATCTGCAACTAAAGAGGATATGTCTAGGTTCAACATACATGAATCGATATTACCCTCAAACACGAAATCAACGAATCCCCCGATGCGTTTTTTAATTCAAATTAAACAATGCTATTATTTTAATGAACATCATTAATTTTCTTATAGATTTATATGAAATTTTCCGATTTTTTTTTCGTGAAGATTTTGTGAAAATGTTCAGAAAGATCGGAGTTTCTGCGTCTGTACATGTATGCAAATATTTATAGCAGAATAAACTGTTCGGAGTTTGTAACGTCGGGAGTTTTAAATGCTCCTCTCCTCCGGTTCGTTGGCTTCCCCCCTTTTGCCCGACACTCTCCTCCCCGCGCGCTGCTCATTCGTATCGCTTTTCATTTACACCACTACCTCCTGCACAGCTAAATGAGTTACATAACTCGCGAACTATACATTAGTATCATTACTTATTATTATTATATTCTGCATGTGCTGCGCCGAAGGGGGAACTATGAATGATGAAACGCCGAAACATACACAGACAGACACGAACTAACGTATATGCATTTATAAACGCAAGCGACAAAAATACTTTTCACGTTTCCTCCACCTTCGACTTACGACATAATGGCCGATTCATATGCAGAATTCTGTGAATTACTGCTTATTCAATTCCTCGTTATGGAATGCAATATACCATTTTCTAAAAAGAATACTTTATTTTACACGACTGAAGCGAGGATTCCTGCCAATTAGGTCACCAAATACAGATTATATTGGTTGAGTATCTGTAGCTTATGACCTAAACTCAACTTACTCTAATTCACAAACAATTCTTCATTTATAATAATAATTCATTTACAAAACTATCAGCCATTTCCTCTTTATAGTGAAAAATATTTATAAAAATGAAATAGAGAAAAATCATATTTCTTTTATAAAATATTCTATTTTTAAATCAATGCTTTTGAAGACCTTTCATAGATTCAGATAAATATTCATTTCTAATTACAGTTAATTAAAACTTCAGTACTTGATGAATATTTACGATTTTTTTTTCAAACAATTCTTCATTTTATCATAATTAATGTTTTTTTGCAGTAATTGATGGGAATTTGTATCCTCTTTACATTTTACTTCAAATCATACTTGACAAAAATTACTATATTTAATAAACAATAAGTTTTTATTAACATCAGCAAATTCATAATTAAAATTTATATTTTAATAAATGTATAAAGGAATACCTACAATTAAGAAATTAGTGCAGTAAATACTAAAAAAATGTTATTGTCTGCAATTTCCTCATTTTAGTTAACAATAGTTTGGAATGTTTCTAAAAATGAAATAGAGAAAAACTATACTTCTTTTACAAAATTTTACTTTTATAACTTCAGTATTTGATGACTTTTATCAAATCTCTTAAAGTGTTAATTTATATATATATATATATATATAAGTTTGTTGGAAATTTCTATTTGCTTTTTTATTCACTTAAAAAATCCGCGAAATCTCATGATTTAGGAATGTTTAATTAATATGAATTCAATCAGTTTATGCAATCACGTTACATTGTTCTGACGGAAATTGATTATATTTCTTCTGCGAAAATGAGTCCTTTTGTTTTCGATTTCATCATTGAAACGATGCGTTTGCAATGTTTGTTTTCACCATTTTCCAAATAACTTTCCTCGCGCAACTGCTTCAAAGATTGATGATTGCACAAACATGATTGTACACCAAACATGATCAGCAGCCAATTTCCAATAAATTGAACCCTGTATACGCACCAACGCCTATTGTCTTTCAAAGGCAATTTCTAATTATAATGTTGTCCGACACTAAGCCTCTATTAAAGGGCTGGTGGTGGCCACGTGCACGCAACATCCTTTATTTGATGCGACTACATAGTTCATCATGGTAGTTGAAATGCGAAAGCAGATGTGTAATTATAATTGTGGGGAAACGAAGGAATTCATTTTGAAAAAGTGCGAAGAAATATTGAAACTTCGCTATAATATTCACAATATAAAGGTTATTCAGAATGTTGAATTGCAAATTATGATCGTTGAGTAAATATTTAAATGAAAAGGGGGAAGTTGAAAGAAACGATGGGAGTCTAAAGCTTAATACCGCTTGAAGACTTTCAATGACTAAGGGACATGTAATTAATTCCATACGTGCGTATATACTATATATACAGAGTGTTTCAGTTTGTTCTGAAATCGTTAGAGGGTTATGAACCAAACAAGAGATGATAATAACATCATGTAAAATGAATTATTCATTGAATTTTATTTTTCTTTAAATTTATTTTTGAGAGCTTTCAATTCTATGTTAATCAACAATCATGAATAATCCGAAAATCTATTTTCATTCCTTAAGACATTAATCTTGAGTCGTTGCATAATTATGCATTAAAGTATACACATTATTCTGATTGTTTAATGAATTGATTTAAATAGAAATCATGAAATTATATATAATATTATGATTGTTAAATGAATTGATATAAATAGTTGTTTTCATGCACGTTTATGAATGACCATCACCATGGCAACCTTCATCCGGTTTAAACCTAAATACATATCAATTTAGGTGCGTGAATATTCCCTCTTTTCATTAAACTATGCATTAATTGCTTACTATTGAAATTAATTTTAGTATTTCATGAAATAATTTACAATAATTAATTTAATAGATATTAATACTCCTTGAATTAACGTGATTATCTAATAAAATTTGTTATGTCTTTTACTTATTTTTAAGTTAAAGAATTGGGTTAAAGAAACGCCAATGAAGCAGCATATGATTTATGAATTGAATGAATATTGCATACATTACAACAATTCAAGGTTTTAGGACATTTAGATTTGCATTTATACACATACAAAACGCGTTTATGAAATAAAATATGAATATTTATTTATGAAAAATTTCCTCCAAATTACGTAAATCTCTTAAAATATGTAAATTTCTTAAAATTTAAAGAAATTCTAATTCTCATTCGGCATTTATTTATTCATAAACGCTTGGTAAATCGTAAACAGAAAAATGATAATACTTTTTATTACTATTTTATCTAATTATGTATATTTATTTACATTGTTATTTTTAGAAGATCAAAATATAGTTAACTAAATCATACAAAAACAACAATGTAAAAGCTATGATTTATATACAAAATAAAATGAAAGCTCTAAAATTAGCTTCTTCGTAGGTTGAAATACTTTGTGAAGAGATTTATGATTGAAAAAACGTCGATGTTCGTTTCTGATATAACATTCAGTTTATTATCCTTTTTCCATTTGTTCATAAATTATTCAGTGCGTGTTACAAAAAGATTAGTTCTAAGGATAACCAGATAAACTCTTTGTTAACAAAAGCTTGGGAATTCGAATTTATTTAGTTCTTTCAATTATAAAGATGGGACAATTTGTAACGAACATTTTACATTTTCTTTAATCTTATCTTATTAGTCCACTAATTATTTACTTTGTTTGTTTCTATTTCGTTAAATGTATATAAAACTTCATAAAATATTTTCTAAGAAAAACTTTAAAAAAATCAGTTAATTTTAAATTCAAGGACAACGTTGGATATTGAACAGTTTTGTTCTAACATTAGGAATACAACATTCCTTAAGTGGTTTCGTGTTGCGTTTGATTTAGATAATGAATAGCTTTTATTATTTGCAGTTAATGGTTGAAGCTAATTGTAAAATTTGTTTTTTTTATTCGTTCTAATCGCCAAGTTTGAGGCGGTGAAAGGGATATTGTAAACTATATGCCCGCTGCATTTTTCTCATTCACGTTTAATGTGGCTATTTGTATTCCACTTTGTGTCCCGAATATCCGTTTGAATGTTGCCTCTATCTGTTGGGCTCCGGCCATATTACCAAACATAAATATCAACTAACAGCCCCTCGTCTATCCTTCTACAACTGGGAGAAAGTCGAAAAAAAGAATAAGAAAGATGCAAACCCTTGTCAGAAATTCACCCTTGCACGCAAGAAACATATAAAATATGAATAAGGATGTTTCAGAATTAATGTTGAACATATTGTGGTTACGATGTGATTTTAAGAATGGAATAAACAGAGAAATCAAGTATATGCTAAAAGTTTCACAGTAATATCAGTAAAATTACGTAATTATATTTTGAGAAAACTGCTTTGAAATTATGCTTCCTGTTACATAAGGGTTACATGCAAATAATGTTGTAAGAATTGGCACTATCTTCTGCATAATTGTATACTTCTCGATTTTTTTTTGCAACATAATAGCTAATAAATAAAATGAAATCTAATTATTGAATAGTAAATCTTTTTTATGATTTTCCACGCATACTTGATTCTGTAGTGCTAATAAACAATTTGATTTAAGGTTGGTCACTACCTACATATTATTTAATAATTAGTTATGTTATCTTTTCATTGTTTTATTTGTTCATTTCACATGTAAAAACTATTGTATTACAATAATACTATCATAATAAAAAAAAATCAGTATCATTATTATTTTTAAAGGAAATATATGATTCATAGTTAAGAAATGATTTACTTAATTTCTTATATATATACTGTTCGTAATGCTTTTAGAATCCCTAAAACGTGAATACTTTAATAACTCGTGGAAGGGATAGACAGGCTTGTCAAAATGAATTCGAAAGTTTCAAATTTAAATGGAATTTCCTTGGATAATGAAATTTTATTGCTGCATTTCCGAAACCGTAAAAATTTCGTATACCCTCGTATTATATGTTTCTTTTCCTTGTTTAGTTGGATTTTAGTGGTGGTAACAGGGTGGGAGCACCTGTTCCGAGCGGTAGGGGTGGGGGTACAGAGTGGGGCCAAAATCAATAGAGGGTGTAAAACTCGTTTTTGGCAAAAATCTTATAGCGAATAATAAAAATTAAAGTGGATATTAAGAATGCTAGCAAGACTTCACGTTCGTTTTATTTTATTTTCGTTTTATTTGTTCCAGAGATGGTAAATAACGAGATGTCGGAGGAATTGGAGGCTGGGGAAGGGAGCGTCGGGGAGGAGAGTTCATCGAATGTGCTTCAGTCGGCGGCCGATCTGAAGGCGCCATCGCCCGTGCTGGCCAAAGAGACGATGGCGGAAAGTCAGCCCTTAAACGAGGATGAAGACGCCGAGAGCGTTAGACTGAGTCCGACTAGTCTATTCTGTAGTCTGCCTTTGAACAGGGACGTGCAAAGTATCATCGATACCTTTCCAAAGACTGAAGCCGAAAGGGCAGCCGCCGGCGGCAAGAAGACACGGAAGATTCCTTGCCTCTATTGTGACCGCACTTTCGTGGCCGACAATCTTCGCCAGAAGCACATCGAGAGGTGCCACTCCATTAAGCAGGCCAGGAGGTCGAGCTCGAGGATCCAGCAGACGTCCACCACCTCGACATCATGCCTGTTCTGTCACAAACTTGTGTCGACCGATCAGGAGTTGGAGGACCTTTTCGATCATTTGGCCACGGAACATGCGGATAAATACTTCGGGTGCTTGCGGTGCAAGGAGCGCTTCACTCAGCTGACGCACCTCGAGGAACACAACGAGGAAGCACACGGCATTAAACGCGAAATCAAAGTGCAATCGTTCGAAGAACCAAGTGACCTGACAGTGAGTACTGGTAGTGCAATTATCGATAGTGTAATAAAGACGAGACACAAAAGCAAAATTAAATTGGAGCCAGAAGCATCGGATAACAAGCAGATCGTGAAGAAACTTTCACCATCACCATCATCTTCATCGTCATCAACATCTAAAGTTGCGCTAAGTCAAAAGGACTTGCGCGGCAAGCGGATCGCACTGAAGAGTACAAAATTAGGAATTAAGCGAAGCACCCGTCTACAGAACAAAGTGATCCCAGCGAAGCCGAAGAAGAAACCCAAGGAAAAGCCAGCCGAGGAGCCGAAACCAGAACCCAAGGTACCACCGAATGAGAATCCATATCCCACGTTCGACGCATTCTTCAGAGTCAAGAAGATCACCGACCACTCAATTGACAACTTGCGTATTACCTCTTTAACGTTTAACGACGTATTTGATCAGGCTTTCTTCACTAGGATCAAATGTAACATCCGCGAAAATCTTCTCAACCACATTGATGGAAAACTGTTTAATAATGAAGAATCCGAAAGTCGCATTTCAAACTTCGAGAAAACTCAACCGGAACAACAGGCGACCGAAAATTTTGGTTGCGAGATATCTTTAAATGCCGCTACTCCTGCACCCAGTCTTCTTACAACTCAGTTCGGAGAAGATCCCGAGTCTCAGATAGAATACGGCTCTAAAGCCTCCAAGAAGAAAACCACACCGAAAAAGGATGAGGTTCATTACAAATACTTCACGCGCAGAAAATATCAGGCCAGCATTTTGGAAAGCAAAGAGAACAGGGACTTGTCGAAGCTGGACATGTGGACGCAATATGTGATAAAAAACAGGCAACAGCAAATCATAGAAAAGACGAAAAGTGACAAAGAAAAGCAAGAGTACAAGAAAGGCGACGAATTTAAAGCCAAGTTTCAGAACGACGAGTTGAACAAGATCTTGGATCGACGTGGACCGTTCGAGGATCTCAAAGAAGAGGTGAGCAAGAAAGCGGCGCTCGAGGGAAATTTCAATCCGGAAGCACAGTCCGATGTTAGCTGCATCTTGGAGGAAATACTCGGTGACGTATTTGGAAATCCGGCTGAAGACGTTGAAATTAAGACGGAACTGACGGACGCGGAAATCCCGAGCTATCTCAATTTACGGAAGGCCACCAATGAAAGTTTCATCGATAGAAGTGATAAGATTACATTGATCTGCTCGTCGCAGGAAACGGAAAACTTCGAGGCGCCAGAAATAGCGCCCCGCGACAAGAACTCTCTCGTCGAGTTAACAGGAGAGTGGGCTAGGTCCAGGCTTTACATATGCGCCGCTTGTGGTCTCAAATGCGAAACCATCCGTTTGCTGCTGGACCACAAGAACTGCATCCATTCCAACGTGTGGTGTCAGCACTACGAGTTCGTCGGCAACCAGGGCAAGTTTTACAAGCACCTCAGCATACCAGGTCTCGGAAAAATGGATTATTTGGAGGCTAACTCCACCTACAAAGTGTGGAAGCGGAGCGAAGCCCGAACATGCACCAAATGTAACAAACAGTGTAACAGCTTGGGCGAATTGCATCGGCACATTCTGGAATGTGGCGAGGACTGGAGCTGGATGCTGGTGCGGAAAAAATGCAAATATCGACCGTTCGGCGCGAAAACTAGAAAAAAACGGAGAGGTAATAAAAGGACAAGTGCACCCAACACTTTATTCATAGCTTTTAAAATAGACATGCTGGACATCATAAAACTAATTATCATTTTTTATTAGGGCTATTCAAGAGGATCATTAATAAAGAAAAAGTCACATCCGACGTGAATCGTGAAAAGAAACCGTGCAAGAAAATAGAAGGGCCCAGAGTCAAACCGAGCGACGGTAATTAAACTCCACAGTAAGATGAAACTATAGTAATTAATTTAATTTTTGTTTGTTTCTTTAGCCGAGACTATTCAAAGGATGTTGGCGAATTTACCGGCAAAGAGGGCCACACGGAAGATAATGAGCTTGAAGGACGGATTTCCCAAAGCGAAGAAGACAACAAAACCTGATAAAGAAGCATCTCTGGCACACAAGACTTTGTCAGCTAGAACCGACTTGCTAGTTCAGGAAAGTGAGAAAATAATGAAACGGAAGTTAGTAGTGAAAGCGAAGACGGGAATGAAGTGCAATCCCGTTGGCAATCGGAGGAAGTCAATGAGGAATCTGAATAAAGTGATTTCAAGCAAGGTTATGGACAATAGTGGTGCATTAATGGTGAAGAGGAAGTTGAAAAACGCCATGCAGCAACGGAAATCTAGGCGGGCCGCGTTAAGTTCGTCGTCGCAGGATCAAGTTGTCGATGAAACTGAGCAGAGTACAAATAGTGTAGTTAAAACATTAAAGCGTAGTGTAATCAAAGAGAAATTTGATTTCTCTGAACCTGCAGAACCGACGTCACCGGTTAAAAAGAAGGTCTGCACGAAAAATAAAATCAAAGATACTCTAATTCGAACGTTAAGTTTGCGTAAAAAGAAGGATGACGTTGAAGCTGGAAAACCGAAGGAGGAAGCAACAACCACGACGAAGAGAAAATCTAAATTTGAAGCGCTGAAAAATGTTGTCAAGAAAATGAAGTTCACAAAGAAGTCTTCGAAGCCGCCGATCATAGATAATCATTTTTTAGAAGTAGAAAGCGATGTGGTTGCGCCTGACAATGAAGTTGCTGAAAATGATGATAAAAGTGATAAAAGCTCCGATGTCCATGCTCCGCCGACATTTCCAGACCCAGAAGAACCCAAACCATCAGAGTCGAAGTTATTTCATGGTGAGAATAGACCTGAAGTAAAAGTTGAGCCGATTGAAATAATAACCAAGCCGCCGAAACAGAAACCTTGCAAGAGACCAAAGGGCTTGAACGCTTGCATTGCAATGCTGACAAGTAAACTTCAAAAAGACGAATGGAAAACGAAAGATGATGACAGCAGTACTCCAAAATTATCGGAGGAAGAGATAGCGAAACCGAAAGTGGAACAACCATCATTGGAAAAGGTGCCATCTATTGCTGATGAAGTTCTCAAGAATGTAGAGCCTAGTGAATTGGAGCAAGCCAAATTAGAGAATATTCAACCAATCAAAGTAATAGAAGAAAGTTTCATTGCTACTCCAACTGAAGAGCATCAAATCAAACAAGACACTATTCTTAAATCTCAGGAGATCTCTTTGGATAATGTCGTCGACATAATAAAATGTATGAAAAATTTGAAAGAACCTGAAATTACCAAGCAATCGCAGAAAATCGGATCTATGAGGCGGAGGCAACCTAAGCAAAAAGCAGTTGAGCCAATAAAAGATAAATTGAATGATGCCATACTAATTGAAGATAATCCAATTGAACCAACGAACGAACCTGTGCGAAAAATTGGACAAATTCGCGAAGTTCCCAAAAGAAGAACTAGCATCCAGGAAGTCAAAAATAAAGATTTGAGTGTAATCAGGGAAGAACCGGAAGGACATTTGAATTCGTTCGAAGAAGATATTGAATTGGAAACGAAGGAACTTCCTAAATTGTTTGAAACCATGTTCAGTCTAGGACCGAAACAACCGTTCGAAGTTAAAAAGATACCTAAACCATTCGAAGTTAAAATGGTTCACTGCGAATACAAAAAACCGAAGAATTTCATACTGGAAGTTCCAAAACGAAATTCTTCGTGGTTCAGTTTTGCAAATCCCACAGAACGTCCAGAGACAAACAACGTTGAGACATTTAGTTCCAATTCGAAGGTTAGCGAATTAAAATCGTTCTTCGAGGCTAAAAGTGCGCCAATGGTTGAGCTAAAGATACCCACTGTACGAAGACAATTTGAAACAGCTAAGCAGCCTGTCAATTGGTTGTTAGATAATAACCAGGCAAGCAGTTGGAGTAGAATTAATTTCGACATCAAGAAGAGCTTAACAGTTGCCGACGTACTGCCTTTACCAGTTGCTAATGTCATACCTCTACCAGTTACTGAAGTAATGCCACTACCAGTTGCTAATATAATACCTTTACCAGTTGCAAAAATTATACCTCTACCAATTGCTGAAGTGATTCCACTTCCAGTTGCTGAAGTAACGCCTCTACCAGTTGCTGATGCAATTCCACTGCCAGTTGCTAATGTAGTAACACTGCCAGTTCTTGAAAATAATCGGTTACTTGAAACTCATTTCGATGATATCTCAGAACCTCCAAGCGTGAAGTCTATAGATGAAAATATTGAATCAATATCGGATGATGTATCTGATTCCGAAAATTCGGTTATTATAATTGATGCACTAAATAATTTGGAAAATAATATTACAGAAAATTCAGAATGTATGATTATGGAGAATAAGAGTATATATGAAAATTTTGAGAATATTATAAAGAAGATTATACCGGAAAGTTCAGTGATGCAATCTTCATGTGATATTTCAAAGAATTTGAACCAGAAGCACACACCAACAAGTTCAGAAAGTAAGATAATTAATAGTTCGTTTGAAAATTCTGAGAGCGTGGCATTAAATAAAATATCGGAAATTTCGCAATGTTTCATCATGAAGCAGGTACCAGAATATTCAGAAACAATACCAATAAAGAATATATCAGAAAATTTAGAGTTACAAATTGACAATAAAAATCTGGAAGATTTTGAAGAGGATAATCCAATAATCTCGGAAACTATAATTGCTAGGAATGTATCAGAAATTACGGAGCCAACGATAGAGAATAATTTATCAGAAATTGCAATAACGAACCAACCTGAATTGATCGAAAATAAAATTGAATTTGAGCTGGTCAAATCTGATACAGATTCAGAGGATGAGTTGCCTTTATCTGTGTTAGCTAAAGTATCAAAGACTGAGAAGAAAAATGAGTTTGTTCCAGAAGTATCTAAAGATAAATCTATGTATGAGGCTATCTCCGTATATGATTTCGATGAAGCACAGGATGAAACCAGAGATGTAATTAATCACATAGTTAGTGATAATTCAAAAGAAAATATTGAGGATGAGCAGAGTCCAAAGCGAAATAAAAAGAAAACTAAGAAGGATACTGCAGAATTGACACCAGTTGAAAACTTCCTAACACCATTGAAGGAGAACAAAAATATGGAAGTGAACAGTGATTCCTATCTTCAAACTCCCGATTTAGATGATTCAGTGATATTGAATAAGTTGTCGAATAAAATGAAGATGAAGCGCGGCAAAAAAGCGAAGGTCGTGAAAAAATTGGAAAACGAACCGGCAGAAAGTAGTTACTGTGATATTTGTAATAAGAAGTTTGTGAGGGCAGACGGATTGAATAAGCATAAAAGGACATTAACGCATATCGCTAAATTGTCAGAGATAGAAGCAAGAGAAGCTGCGGAGAAGGCGATGCTAAAAGAATTGGAACAAATAGAACATGTCGAGCCGGAAAAAGATGAAGTTCAAGAACAGCCGATCGAAGAATTGCCGACGGAAATCGAAGAAATTCCAAATGATATGTACGAAAATTTAAGCGAAGCTGAAGAACCTGAGCCTGAGATGGAAGAAAAATTAATCGAAGTTGAGATGGAGAAGGTACGGATAGAAGGCGCGTTAATATCAACTCCATTCCCATTGAATGCGACCACAAATGACACTTTGCACTTGGCCAACATTATCAACGACGTTTTAAGTAGTCCTGAACCGACACCGGAACTTCCCAAGCGTTGTAAGAGCTTAGGAGAACGCAAGAGTTTCGATTCCGACTCGATATATAATCAACCTAGTTTTACGAAGATTCCCAATAACTTGGAGCATCATCTTTCCATACTGGAGAACATTATTGAAGAGAATCAGGCTAGTTTCCAGTACATTGATGAAATATCTGTCTCCTCGAACAAATCCGAGCAACGTTGTCCTTCCGATATGAGTCTGGTCAGTGACATCAAACCGGACGATTCCAATATTATTACATTTACCCACAACACCAACATCGTGACTAGTTTAATGCATACCGATGGTAATTTTGTAAAACCGACGCAGTACGAAGAAATCAGTGAGGACACGCGGACTTTCGAGGAACAGAGGGCAAGGAAAGCATTGAATCGTGATGAGGAGCTATTTTTGGAGTGCTGCAGTTTGCTGAAGAGTAGTTCGGAAGTCAGCAATTTCAGCAAGAAATCTTCGCACGCAATCTCTTTGGTAAACACTTACAAACCGGACGACGAGTGGCTAGAACCAAAGCAGCAACAGAGTTATCCTAAAGATGATTTTTTATCAGAAGATTCTTGCCCAAACACACCCATCGGCGAGAATTACGATGATTTCTCGAACTCGAATACAATTAAAACCGACTGGAATACAAAGCTGAAAGAACAAGAGTTTGAAGATATCTCCATGGACTCGATTTCTAATAGATCTAACAGCAATTTCGTCTCCAATGGTTTCAATAATTGTTTTGACGATGATAAAAATAATGACTTCAGTAGGGAAAGCAAAGAGTTTGACGATACTAATACGAGTTCTGAATTCAAGAGGAACATTGACGCCAAATTCAATGGTCTCATAGTCGAAGCAATGAAAAACGAGCAATTGGTTAAAGAACTGAACAGGTAAGAATTAGTTTATGTTTGAATGTATGTAGGTTATATTAATATTGAATATTTTTGTGTTTCAGGAAACCCGAAGTGACACAGACGTCGATAATTGACTACGTGATACCTTTATCTAAGAGGATCGATAGTAATGATTCGTTGACTAATGATAGCAAGAAGATGTTAACGAAGGGCGCGATGAAGGTTTTCGAAGGGTTGAAAGTGTCCATTCCCACCGAAGACTTGGATATGAACGAGGTGCTGAATTGCAGTCCGAAATCGAAGCGGTTGGAAATAGAAAGTAGCGAGATCATGAAGGAAGATAAATCGAAGCCGAAGAATAACATGAAAAAGTTCGGAAATAAGCTCGGGTTAAAGGTGACGAAGAAACGGTCGAGTAAAGTTAAGAAAAGCCAAGAGGAGAAGGAGGAGAACAAAGTGCATGACATATATGATTTCGAAGAGACTCAAGATAACACGGATTTGTTCGTTCCCAACAATTTGACTACGTTCAGAAAGCAAAACATCGACATTAAAGATCCAGAAGTTATCGACAAGGATTTGGTGGATACGGATACTGAGAGCAATAACCATTTCATCGATTCCTTCAGTTACGAGGCGCCATCGGTGTCTTCGTTTTCAACAGAAACTGAATCCAGTGCTTCCATAAACAAAGGAAACGGTGTACAGAACATTACTAAGAAGAAGTGCGTGATCATGGGTAGGATATTTAAGAATGCGTTTAAGCCGAAACCTGACGAAATCAAGGATTTGGAGGATACCAATGATAATTATGTGATAAGTTGTCCCGAATTGGAGGTGCCGGTGCCTAAGGTTACGCCGAAGCGTTTAACCGAAGCGGAAATGGATTTGCTCTTCGATAAGTTGCTGGAGGATAACTTGGATGGTAAACAAGAGCCCAAAGTGAAAACGAGCTGCAAGAACAGTGTCGCTGCTAGTTGTACAAAGAAGAAGCGATCGCGAAAATTAAGCGAATCCAGCGATGACGATTTTAATTTGGGCAAGAACCCGAAGAAGCGCGCCGCTCGGAAAAGGACGAAAGATGATGGTATCAACTTGGAGCAGGAACTGAAGGAGTGCATGGGTGTGGCTGGAAGAAAGAGCCAGAGAAAATGCACGAGCGGAAAGCAAAATGTATTGATGGAGGTGTGGAGCTCGGATGATTCGGATTTCGAGTTGAAGATGAAGCGATCTTTGGAACAATCTGCAGCTGAAGTTAAAGTGATCAAAGAACCGCCCCCTAAACAAGTGGAACACCAACAACAACCGCCAATACATCCGGAAGTGATCCAGGATATAATCAAAGACGCCAACGATGCCATCAAGAAGCGTAAAAAGAAGTCCAGCAGCGCAAGGACGAAAAGTATGTCCGCTGCTGGCAGTGCAGAGTCCACTCTGGCTTCCAACAGGAGAAAGAGGTCAGCAGCGGAGACACTGTATTATTGGTCTTCGTCGAGCGACGATGAATCTCAGAATATGATCGAAGTGAAATCGTTGCGAGACGAGGACGACGACGACAGACCCATGCAGCACGGTTGGATCGTCGGAGATTCCCCTAAGAAATTGGTGACGATGCTGGCGCAGGCCAAAGGGAAGAAGCTCGATTCCGCCAAGTGTGTTAAGGAACAAAACAAGAAGAGGACTACGATTTAAGTTTTAAGGTGTAAATAAGAAGCGGCGTGTAAATATCTAGTGTACATAGTTTGCATTTAATAATATATAAATATGGATAACGATAAATGAACAAAAAAAAAACGGTAAAACAAAATGATAAAAAATATATTTTATACATAGTAGCTTCGAAGGAAAATGATAAAAGAATTAGTACAATTTTAGAATGTATACAAATTAATTGCTGAGACCCTTTTAATGTACGAATGAAGAAAGAAACAAACATTAATTATGTATAGCAGATTTAAGGATTTTACGTTTCGTTGGTTTTCGTATTCGTACGCGAACGCATTAGAGTTTTTGTTTATTATTATTATTATTATCATGATTATAATACATTCGTTTATTTTTTGGGGCCTAAACGAAATATGAATGAGATCGAGCGTGAGGAAATGCCATGTATCGTCTAATTATTTGTGATTATTCTTTCTTTGCATCATTTGTGATTTTTGTTTATTATTAATTTTCAAGAAAACTTCCTTTTTTTTATATGTATAAATAATGAATATATATTAAAGAGAATGTTATATTAACATTAATACCAGATGAATATTTTCTTCTTTTCTTTTTGTTAGAAAAGTATTTTCTTTGTATGTAACACATAAAAACACACACAGAATAGGCGACTAAACGTTGTGATTGTATTTTTCTCAATTTAGCGTAATTTACTTTTCAGTGGCAGCACCAGATTCTTTACAATTTTCTTGTATGTTTTCCATCTCATTTCAACTTGGGTTAAATCTCTATTGACACAAACAAATCAAACACATCTTTGTTTTCTGTTTTTCTTTATTTGTTGTTCGCTATTCACTGCCAGATTGTGCCTTCGACGGATCACACAAGTTGAGAATTTGTCTCATGATATGATTTCAATTACGAGTAGTTTTCATTTCAGTCTGATTATATATATATATTATTTTTTTTGTTTGCGTTTTGTAAATAGTATCGAGTGGAGAGAAGATAATTGTTATATTGTACTGTGCATATTAGATCTATATATATATATATATTTTGGGAGCAAATATAAGTAATTCATTTTTAGTTTTGTTTTTGTCCTTCGTTTCTCTGATTACTATTATTAATTTTTTTTTATTACTTACTTACATTTTGAAAGCATTGTAAATTTCACATATTGTACTTGTGAGAGTAATTTTTAATTAATAAATCCCCAATTTCAGATTGTCTCTTACATTTCGTGGTGTTCATTTTCATTATTCTTTTATAGCGATTTTTTTCTATTTACATTACTTTAGGTTTGGTAACAGTAGTGTAGCATGTTTCGTACATGCTTTGAAGAACTTCTGTTGTAACGAATATGAACGGTGTTTAATCAATTGCTAGTGTTGAACATTCTGCACTATTCTTAGCAATGCATTTAAGATCTTTGTAAACGTCCTTGATATTCCGGATTTTAGTTTAGAGAATTAAATTTTATAAAATGCAGTTTCAAAAGAATATAATCAGGACATTTACAATAAAACTTAAACGTATTCATGATTAATATTAGCAAAAACACTTGCTTAGGCACAAAAAGAAACAACATTTTGAATCCAATAATCACCAATATTTGATAAATAGATTTCGATTATTTTAGAAATTAGTCTAAGATTATTATCATCTTTATGATCTATACTAATTCACCATCTTTGCTTTCACAACAAGAGAGAACATATAGTTGGCAAAAACTCATTTTGCATGTAAAAGCTCATATTTATATAAGAGTTTTTCATATTTTTGTTAAAATATAATTGATAGAATGGTCAAAATATTATAAATTAAGAATTACTCTTTATATACGTATTTTTGCAAAGATTTAATTGATTTATAATTAACGAAAATATGCTGTCTTTATTCATCAAAATACATTAATAGAAAAATATTATTGGTAAATTCGTCAGTACAAAATAATAGTCTAGCAAAAACTTGTATAGACACAAAGCGAAACAAAAATTTGATGCGAAAACAATCCAATCATCTCCAATATTAGAAATAAATATAGAATATTGGATGTTAAATAATTAATTCTTATTTAATGAAAAACTCCTAATCTTTAATGCTTATTAATTCTAATCTGATTATCTTCAATTTATCTGTAAATGTTGCACGTTTTAAGTATAAATTATTTAGTTTTCGTTTGTGAATTTCATTTTATTCGTAACTTTCATTATATATTACATAATTAGATGTATTATTGTTTCAATTGCATAAGTAGAAGCAATTAGGAATTAAAGCATTTTTTCTTAAAACTTAATTTTAAAAAAGTGTAAATTCAGATTTTTTTTCAATTAGAATCTCCAAAAATAGACAATATAACAGTTAATCAGTACTGTTAAAAACTGGACTAATCGAGGAATGTATAAAAAAGTGTTTGTATGTACAAACTATGTACAGAATTTAGTTTCATTTTCTTCACTTAATAATTAGTTTGTTTTAAAATTTTCAAACTTGTGAATGCGGACTAATCGAATCCTCACTATGCGAGGTAATTATGGACAGCAATAATTGGTGCTCATCGACCGAGCACCAATTGGATAATTTTCTGGAGTTTCTTAAGATTATACAAAAAGAAACTGTAGTTTTTTAAGGAATATATCGAGGTGAACTAGGAAACAAAATATTTTGTAATTCAATTGGCTCGAAAGAAAGTAAGTGAATTTATAGGAAATTACATATTCCGTCCATTTCTATTTCTCAATTTTGAAAGTCCCATTCTTACTTACAAACTAGTCCGACTATTGTCTCGAAATATCCGCTGATGTGACCATCTCTTAACAATCCACCCAATAACTTTTACTTATTATATGATGAGCACGTTTAATGCTTGAAGAAAAAGAACGAACGAACAGAGAAAAAAAAACAGATTTTAGAAAAACTCGATAGAACTTTCGATCTTTTTGAAATCGAAAACGTCGAAAGTCAAAAATTTGAATACGTAGCCGTGCCCCGCATAGAGCATAGGTTTCGCACTTTGTAGAGAGAAATGAAGAGAGAGAGAGAAAAAAATTAACGTCTGTGTGTTACGCAACGAAAGGTCATAATAGCTTAATTTTGCAACGCAACGCTCGAAGGGTTTCCCTCCCGAAATAAGAAAAAAAATACGTGAACACTTTCTATGCGCGAATCAGTTTTGGATTTATCGTCGAAGCGTTTTGTAATTTCCAATAGTTTATGATGCTTATTAACAGGAGATAAACACGACTCGATTGCCGTAATCTCTGATTGAAACATTTCAAAATTGAATGAAATTGAGGATATTCAATCGATGAATTAAGCGAATTTTATCTTGAATATTTTTATTAAATTAAATCAATAAAAAAAAACTGTTAATTATGTATTAATCGACATATTGAGAAAGGCTAAATAATTCTATGAATTAACAAAATGCATAATTTATTTTTAGATCTCTATGATCTTCAAATTAGTTATTCACATATTTCTACTTTTTTTTGTTACTTCTCTTCTATCGCTTTGCTTTCCGTTTTCATTTGCAAATTCTCGCTTTCGCGAAGAATCCCAAACCCGATTCGCGTATATATTTTTTTCTGGTTATAAACGTTCATATTCGAAGCATCACGTGAAGCAAAAGTCCAGCATTACATTGAGTATCCTTGAAGCAACGTAAAATTATAATATTTTTGTAATAATTACATAAACACACTTTTAATATTTTATGCAAAGCGTACACAAAAAAAAAGCAACATTCACACAGTCGCACAAATTGGCGAAGAATCGCGACGCGAAAAGATAATAAATTTCTGATCCTTAATTAATAGATGAAGAGAGAAAAAAATCTCGAATCTAATGTTTTCTGTGTGTGTGTGTCGAAAAAGTTGTATAAGATGTGACGCAACTCGTGTGGATTTGTTAATTTCGTTTTCGTCCCCGAAGTAGTCGATTGGCGAAGTCCAAAACCCGGTTTTTCTTCGTTCAATTCCAAAAAAATTTAATCACAAGTCACAAGTTGGAAATTCCAGCTGCATTCGGTACGAAATGCATGTGATTTTTGATACTTTTTAAACAATTTGGAATCTCGAGTCAAAAATATGCGTGGAAAAGAAATTGTTTCAAGGTTTTTTGGTCACCTCAATTCTCGATTCTTTGAAACGTACATTTTTTGTTATTATTAACTCATAACTCTTTAGTTTCACTTTCATCGAACAAATTTCAATGTTGATTGCACATGAATATTAATTACTGAAATTACAGGCATTTTTGGGAATTGCATTTCCAAATAACAACATTTTTTTTCAATTACAATTCATATTCAAAATTATTATTTTCCATTGCGTTACATTCACTGAAACAAATAACTTCTCAATTCAATTAATATATTTCAAATTCTAAAGAGAATCTAAATAACTACAGGAGATATACTAGTTTTTCTCTTATATAGTTAGTAATTAATACACTTACATATTCTAGTATATCAAAAAGCAAAACACTCTTAAGTAATCTAATATTATATAAACTTTGTCTCAAAATATAGCTTGCTTTATAATAATAGCATAAGTTTTAGAATTAATTAATTTATTGCCTAATTTTATATAATAACTACATTCCATACGTTATTAATTAGAGATTTACTAGCAAATTTATATAAAAATTTGGGATTTAGTATAGTGAAGATATTGTTAAAAATGTGAATTCGCAGTATACCTTCGATTATTCCGGATTCACTACAGTCCAGTTTGAAAATTTCTTAACAAAACTAAATCCTAAAAACGCGAAAGTACACAAAATTATTAAGTTTTTTCTATTAATATATTGAAATCCTGATTTGTACAGTTTATGTGTTTAATTCCTCGATTAGTACGGTTTAAAAAGCACGAGATAAAATAGAACCGAATTTCAGCATTTCATAGCTGATTTGGTCTTCATTTGAATTTGCACAAAAGCACTGAAATACATCATCAATTCAATAAACGATCAACAGATGTCAGTCTTAAAACAAATTTTGAAATGATTCATATATCAATGCAAATTCGAAACCTAAATTAATCCCAATATCAATCTCGAAAATACTTAATCTTCATAAATAATTCCATCTGTTCCATTTGAACGATTTGTGAAATTAACGAAATTGGAATTCTGCGATTAGTTAAAAAAAAAAACGATTATCATTCTTCGGATTCTTCCATTAAAATGAAACACGAAGACGAGAAGACAGATTGGACATAAATATGCAATTAATTATGTTTCCAGGAAGTTGACGTTGAATTAGAATTAATTTAAATACGACAAATTTCTCTAATTTCTATCTAATTTGTATATTCTAGCAAAAGAGTGACAAAAAAAGAACGGTTTTTTAAATTTTCGCGAACATTGGAATAATTAATTGGATTTACATAGCTTTATGCATTGTTTCAAGATTCTTTTGAACGAACATTTTAATTGTTTTATAAACGTTTTCTTTGCTTGCCGTACTTTCAAATTTAGATATAGACTTACAATTTTTCAAATATTTAATAATATAAATGTATTAGATAGTAATTATAAATGTTATGGATAGAAAGTCCTATAGTTAATAGCCTTTTGCAACAGTTTAATTTCATATTTTAGTGATTTATAGTTGCAATAATTATTATTATTTTATTACCAATTTTTTATATAATTTGAAAATATTATACTAATTTGAAGGTTTTCTTTGCTATAATTAATAAAAAAAATATATTTTATCTTATTTCTAAGCAACAATTATAAATATTTTCGAAAATCATATAAAGTTTATTTTTATTAAAATTTTCAGCTGTATTCACAATTGCCTATAGATCTACGTTGAATATCATGAAAATTTTTTTTGTTTACATATCTCTTATTTACAATCAATGTAATTGGAAATGTTTAATTATAACAATCATAAATTATTAACTTTATTATTACCAATTTGCAATTTTATTTTGATTGTAAAATATTACATTTGATTATTAACTATTCTTGATTTTCTAACAATTTTATTATATAATCATGATTTATTTCTTTAAAATGTATCAAATTTAACTTCTTTGTTACCCCAATTTTTGAAATTACAATTCTTTAACTAAAATTATACCAAATTATGTTCAATGAATATAAAAAATGTTTTTTTTTCATCCAAATATCTCAAGTATAATCGAGATCAACAGACCTTGCTTCATGCGATCTGTCTTGCATGACAATGCGTCGATCTTCACGGTCAATTCATTTTTCTCTTAAAGTTATTCTAACAACAGGACAGTCTAATTGCAGTTTGGTTATAACCTTAACCTTTTTTTTTAACTATATTTCTCTCAGACAATAAGAAATTTGCACTTATTGTTGACGAAAGGTTAAGGTCGCATCGAAAACCTTTCTGATATTTCAAATAGTTTAAATTTCAAGTAAAAATATGTAATTATTTCTAAATTTTATATAATTTATTGCATGTAGATTTACATTTGCAATGGTAAATATTTTCTTGAAAAAAATAAATCAAATGACTTTAAATTCATTAGGATAAATGTATACTTTAAATAGTTTAATGAAAAATGTAATTGTTTGGAAATATTTTGTAAATTTCATTTCATTTATTTCTTGGTTTTAAATAATGAATTTGGATATGTTTTTAGATGTAAATCCAATTTGAAAAGTGTTACTTTATACTCGATTTTCTGTAATTATATATCTTCTTGCCAAAATCTCTTACACAATATAAACTTCGATTGTTAATAATAATAATATAGTAGCACTTTCTATGCAATGTAACCGATCCTTGTTTCGAGCATCGATATTGCTACACTCTTCACAATAGTTATTAATTCGATATGTACCATTATAATTTATGATATGTAAAAGAACGATTTCTATACATTCAATTATAATACAACGTTTCTCACGACTAAATCACGAAAACCGCATCGATTTTTTTTTTATTAATCTTCGAATGATTTGACTCGAAGCAATTCATTTTATATTTTGAAGTCATCCTTGACGCTCATTCCTTCATGATCGTTGACATTCTGTCCACTTAATATGTAGTAACTCTTGTTTCCATATATTGGTTAATGATCACCTTACAAGAATTAAATTTGTTTTTCGAGCAGATCTCGTTTTACGACATTTAACATTGACGATACTTCAAAATTACTTAAAAATTTAATTTCGTATAGAAATATCATTAATTAACAAACATCAAGAATTATTATTATTGAATATTTGATAAAAATAGAAGAATTAAATTCATTAATTAAAAACTATTTAATGTTCTAATCATCATAATGATAACTATCCACCGGGAAAGATTATCCAATTAATGTCAACCGCGATCTTAAATTTACTCAATGTTCACATTGATGAACAGATTGTGAATAAAATTATACGATATAAAAAATAGATTTTGTAAAAATCAATCTTATTTACTAAAGTTGCTAGTTATTAATATTCAAAGAATATCTCGGATTTACTATTTCTTAGTTTCTTTTTAAATAAAGAAAATAAATTAATAAAATCATAATTATAATTATTTCTGATGTAATCATTTTTTAAATTATTTATATATAGAAGAATTTACTTTTGTTAAATATAAAAAAAAATAAGTCAATTCGCTTAATAAGTAGCAACAAGGAAGTTTTCAATTTATGTTATTTGTAAGTAATTATTTGATTTTAAAAGTATTTTAACTTGAAGACATATTATAAATTTATATATAAATATTCACTAAATATCAGTATTAGTGCAAGTCTTTAATCAATTAAAAAAACATACTTAAAATAGAATAGATGAAAAAATTTATTAAGAAATACAACCAAATTAATGAAATTGACAATAATAATATAATTTTTGTAAATTAAAATGTAAAATATGTAATTCTGTAATGTAATTATTAAAAAAAGAAACAAGAAATATCTCATTTTAGGACATTTACATTTAAGAAAGAAAAAAGTACTGTAATGTTCTTGTTTTTACGTTCCAAAATAATGTTTTTTTTTGTACAAATTACTTAAAAATTGGATTTACAACAAATGTAATTAAATAGTATATTCTTAAATATAGTTTATAAAATATGTTTCATGTGATTTTTTTACTTTAATTAAAGTGAATATATTTTGTCATTTCATTTAAAATATTTCTTAATTAATAAAAAAAAATATGATATAATTATGAATATATTTAATTATACTATTCTTTTAGGTAAGTAACTTCTTGATTTTTGAGTAATTGTAATTAAAAACAATACATTTTGTCGAGATCCTTATTTAAGAAGTTTTTTAATTAATACAAAAAAGTAGTACTTTTTCTTGTTTTACGACATTCCAAAATAATGATTTTTTTGTACAAATTACTTAAAAATTGGATTTACAAGAAATTTTATTATATAGTATAGTTTTATTTACTTTTTTGAGTAACTTTAAGTAAAGTGAATACATTTTGTCGATTCAATATCATATTTTTCAATTAATATAAAATACATGATGTAACTTTAAAAATCTTTAATTATACTATTTTTTTTCATTAACTTATATTTTATTAGTTTTTTTTTTAGGAATTTTAAGTAAAAACAATGAATGCGTTGGAACATTCGAAAGCGGTTTGGCATTTTTTTTTGGTGGAAATTAAATAATGATTAGGAGTAAGAATTTTATGGAAGCGGATGGATTGTTTTGTACGGTATACATGAAGATTTCGTACGAAAATTGCGATGGGCGATAAAATCACAATTGTCTACGTACCTCTCTTGGTACTTGTGTGTGTGTATGTACGTTTTGCAGCAAACGTATAAATAAATAAATAACAAAATACATGTATAAGGTGTTACATTATAATATGCGGTGATCCAGTGAAACAGCTACTGAGTGAAAGCTGCGCCGGGGCCTGAGTCCGGGCGAGAATCGCGATGGCCGATTGTAAAGTGAAGGGAAAAGTTAATTCGAGAATTTATAAATATTGGAATGCACTGCTGGCGGCTTCTAGTGGTCTCGTCACTCTTAACGGTGCTACAAACCCTCCTTTATTATCAACAATAAGTCACACCGCATCAACCGCAAGGAACCGCAACCGCAAACCCACATCGAACACACACATCAGAAACACAAACAATTATCAACATGAAATTCAAACTGCTGTAAGTACATAATAACATAAGTTTTCTCTTATAATAAACAACTAAATCAATCAATTCAACTTTATACCCAAAAAAATAATCTAATATTTCATTTTATATTTGCAATGGTTTAAAGTTGGATCAACTTTGGCCTATAATGTTGACGTGTTGACTGCATGCAACTCAGCCCGCATCAAACTTTCATTTTGCGTTACGTCAGTCGGTGCGTTTTTACATACGATCAATATAAGTTGATCGAGAGAAGAAGTAGCGAATCCCTGATTGCGCAAAACCGTAAAATCCACGAAAATAATTTCTCTTCGTTACTTTTGTTTTTTTTTTCGTTCCTCGCGCATCCACCGACTCGATTCGCTTCGCCATAAGCAGAGAGAAGTCCTTAAACATTCTATTTTCATCATCGACAAAGAAAATGTGTTCGCTGACCTCGCGAGTTTTTCGAGAAAAAGTACCTTTTAGGTCGCATATTCGCACTGTTCGTATGTTGTTGTTGTTCTGTTCTGGTTTATTATTTTTTTTGTATTTTTCTCTACCAAGCTCATTTCTTCCGAATCACCATTTATTTTTCGCCCTGCTTTCATTTCGCAATTCAAATTACACAAACATTATGAGAACGTTATAATTGGATAGTTTCAAAACTATTTATTTTTTAGAAAATTTATCAAATTTTTACTGAAAAATAATTTATTTAAAATTTATGAAAAATATTTTCTATTTTTATTAAATTTTCACATATATTGCAACTTTTTAACTTATAAAACAATTTGCATATATTTTTATTGTTCATTTTAATAATATTAAACTTTTTCATCGAAAATCTTCTTTATTGTTAAAAATCATTGAAAATAATAAAATTTAATATTTATTTAAAGAAATATTGCAACTTTTTCAATTATAAACAAAAAAAATTTGATAATTTCAATTTTTAGACAATTTTTGTGATAACGTTTTCACGAATAACACAAAATTATTATTATATTTTTATAAAATTTCATTGCTATATAAATATAGTGATCAATTTTCACATTTAATACAATCATAATAATTTTCTTAAATAAATCCTTGAAAGAAAAAAAAGTGAAATTGATAGTTTACATTTTTTTAATTCGTTTACGCAATCAAACAAAATTTGAGCAACATATATAACTGCGCACGACCTAGGTCAATGTTCAGCTAAATCGACTGCAAACAAATTTCTATGTAAATACAGGAACATTTTGCCCATTCCGTTACATCACATTTACCTTGACTTTTTTTTTCGGTTGATTTCTAAGCTGTTTAGGAAACGATTACGAATATTTTATGCATACGATTTGATGATAATTATACGTTTTTTCTTTCTTTCATTATTTACCAACGCAAATTAACGTGTCAATTCTACTTCTTGCAATCTTTTAAATTTATTAATTAGTAAATTTTCAACAATTTTAGGTCATCTAACAAGTTAGTTTTTTGTTGCTTTTGTAAAGGAATTACGTAATGTTTACACATTTACAATTATCACTAGTTTTTTTTTTAAAGTAACGAAACTTTAGTATATTTTCTTAAATAAATTAAATAGAAATATTTCACTTATTCATTTATTTTTTTTAAATAAACTAAAAGAAAGTTTAGACAAAATTAATCAATTAAATTAATAGAAAAACCTCTTCTTAAATATATTTTTTTCCAACTTTTAGAACTTATTAGATATTAAATATTTAATTCATATTCTCATTTTGATATAATTATTGAAAATTATTTTGAAAAAATGTTAATATTTCTTTTATTTTTATAGAAAATTTTACTTACTGTTTTTATATACAACTTCTGCTATTACAATATGTTATTTATTACAACAAAATCAATATTAGAACTACCTTTCTAGACATATTGGAATACTAGTTTTTTTTCTTTTAATATAGAGGAGTTTTCAAAAACAAATAACCATAGAATTATAGATGTTTTTTATTTAATAAAGAAGAGTTTACAAAAAGAAATAACAAATTAGAACTACTTGCATAAACGTATGAGAATTATAGTTTTATATAGTTTTATTTTTATTTAATAAAGAGGAATTTTCAATGAGTTTTCTATTAGAACTACTAGAACTACTTTTACAAAAGTAGTAGAGCTGTTTTTTTTTAATATAGAGAACTTAACAAAGATAAATAATGATTACAGCTGTTTTTATAAACGTGTTGTGTTGCTTTTTTTTTGAGAAAATCCCAGATGCATTTTTGTGCCTTTAAAATTGCGAGAAAAGAAAGCCGCAATCTATTAATTAGCTAATTAACGTGCGTTTAATTGTCGTATTCTCAGAACTCCCAAGATTTATAGGCTTCTCCTTTGCATTCCATCTCTCCTCTACACTCTAGGCCAATTCCCTGAGAATCTGTCGCACAGTCTAGTTGTTAAGGTTACCTGAACGCATTTGTTATTTCAAATATAGGAATGCTATTAGCAATGAAATCTGTTTATTTTCCTCACAAAACATATAAATTATTAAAGGAAGAAAACGAACCATTAGGTCAATGGTTGTGATTTTCCATCAATATGTGTATTCAAGAAGAAAATGGTAATAATATGAGAGAAGAATGGGAAAACCTATGATTGTTGTTACTTATGGTACGAAACACACATGGAGTGCGTGTGCAGCGAGAAAGAGCATTTCAAATAGAAACTCTTTATTTTGGCCTTGCAGTACATACCAATAAGAGACTTTTACATCTGTTAGCCGCGTTTTTTTTTCTCTTCTCTCTTTCTTTTCTTGCAGTTTAGTTACTCTTCACGTGTCGTTACAGTATAAACAAATTGATACGGACGACACAAAGAATAGATGGATTCGATTCTCTTGGAAAATCCACCTTCCAAACCGAACGGCCTTAACATTTCAATAAATGTTTGTAGTACATCCAGTATATTACATATATTGAACGATTATACAACGATCATTACTTTACGAGTCAATAATGTGTTCAATCCACTTCGGGTTCACGACCTTTGCGTAATATAATAATATTATACTAATACCAAGAGATTTACATACATGTTTAATAACAAAATCTCTAATTATTAATTATATAATTAGTAAATAAATCTCTTTTAAACGAAAGCTGTAAAACTATGATCTAAAAACACAGTTAAACATTTTTATCATTGAAAATTACAAACAATAATACACGTAAAATAAAAGTGATTTAAAAGACGTTAACGAAATTAAACTAATCTTCAAAAACAAAGTTCATATTAATTTAAACTATAAATTAACTTTCGAAATATTCAATCAATCATATACATTTTATTTTAGATAAAATTGTCATAAACTTGTAGCAAAATTTAAAATTTTATTTGTTTATTTTGATAAGAATACAAAATAACAAATTTAATTACAGCTTATTATAGTTAAATCAATCTGTAATTAATATTAATGTATATTAGTAGTGGTGTATTTCCTATCATTCAAATTACGTAAAAGAATCGAAAGGTCAACGGTATTTGTTTTTATAACAATCTTTTCTCTCATTGTTTAACGAAGTTATTACAATTACGAAGACGATTATCGTCGTTACGTAAGGATCGTCGATGTTTTTTCATCTCCGCATTTGCCGGAGGTGTAACGAGCAGAAGAAAAAAAAAACACGAAAGAAACGTGAAACAAACAACAGAAGAATAAAAAAAAAACAAGTAAGCAGACGAACGTGCAATTGTGAGCATTAGAAAGCTGGATGTGTGTGATCTTTAATGACACATAATTATTATTTTGTATTATCAGAAGAATGGAGTAACGAAAACTGAAAAGCACTTTCAAAATCGTTGAAGATCGAATCGTACGTATTCGTTCATCTCGGCGACTAAGATACGTGGAAATCTGCAGGAAAACATTGGGTTGCCTTGAGGAGGAAACAAAGGAAGTCTTCTGGGAATCCGCGTGCATTAATATTAATAACGTTGACATTTGAAGTGTACCGTTTCCAAGAAAGAGGTAAAAATATGGATTTTTTTTAAAGGCGCTTTGGTCACTTAAGAAAATAAATAAACCGCTGTACACGATTCGTATTCGCCTCTGGATTTGCTATTATTTCTTCGGCGAAATGTCAGAACATCAAAGCAATTTATGTAATTTAATTCAATTGTTGTTATGTTACATGAATAATTTTTCAATAACATTGCAATGTGTTTTGAAGTCTTAAGTAAGTAAACTATATACTAAAGTTTAAAGAACTTTTTTTTACTTCTAAATAACAAAATTACAAATAATTAATTGAAAGGATTATGTAACAATGTTCTTTTTTTTTGTTAAATTGCAACAATTTTATGGTCGAAGATAGAAAATATAGATATTTTGAGGTTAATATTTTTTTATGTAAGAAATGTGAAATTAAAGAAGCATTAAGGAAACCACGATAAAAGCACTGAAAATGAAGACATCAAAACGAAATCGTTGAGGTTTTCGTGCTAGGAATCAAGATATTCGGGCTGGTCGCGGTCGTGTTTTGCGTAACCTTGCAACAAAAAGGAAATGAATCGGATAATGCTTTTATAAATCCTTGATACAAAACGAGACCGGCTCGAAATCCTTCACAATGAAAAATTCGCTCTGAAACAGACATACTTAACACACACGCATGCTACAATATACTACAAAAAAATAATATGTATGTATGGTACAGGAAAAGATCTTTTGCAATTTGTTGTCGTCACATCTTAATTGGATTTGCGCAAATTAGTTTTGGCAATGTGCAAATATTGTCCGAAAAATCAGCAATGGAAGACATTTACCCAATTCATTAGCGTCCGCGTTTGTACCAATTTGTATTCTGCAGCTGTCCACAATGAAAACAGATACGAACGACAACAGCGAGGAAAAAAAATGAAAGTGCTACACGGGAGAAATGAGTTTACCATCTGTACATATTTATTGTAAACCAAATAAAACTGTTACTTTTCATTGAATTTTTAACATCTGTCAAATTGAAACACTTCAGTTTTCATTATGACATATGTCAATTTGATAGACTTCAGTTGTCATTATGACATATGCCAAATTGATACACTTCGGTTGTCATCATGGCATAAGTCAAATTTAATTTTCACGTTTTGTTTATTGGTTATTTACATACAAATAACCATTTTTCTTTGTTCTTCGCATTCCTTTTCTGTAACAATTAATATGAGTAATTCTGCTTTTAACAATAGTATTTCTATATATAATTACTAAGTAATCAACAATTATATGTATATATAATTAATAATGAATATAACTTTTATTGAATGAAACTCCTGTAATATTTCTCAAAATTATGGCTAACAAAACTAAGAAAAATTATGCTATCAATCTTGGAAATCTACGAATTAAAAATATTATACAAATTGCCTAAATGACAGCTGTCAAACCGTTTGCATAGGATTAGGGTTAGACAGCTATCAGTTAGAAATTTTGTATATGTAAGATTCATCAATCCATCATCTTCTGTTAAATCTCAAATGCAAATTTTATTGGTTGAATTAAGTATAGAAATTATGTGCGCTCACGATGAAACATCGTGAATTTTATTGAGTCTCTGGGGGAAGTTCATAAATATGTGAACAACTATTATGGAATCTGTTATGCAACATAATGATAATAGTTAAGAAATGTTCGAAGAATGCAGATGAATCTTGCTAAATGGATTTACCACAGCGTTTCTGCAATTGAAACCTCTGCGAGTTGTCTACGTGAATAAATTGATTCCGAAGGTCGTGAATTGACATTTAATGCGGCCGTTCCTGATCGCCGTTCGCCGAGAGGATCGGAAACTGATGAGATAGGATAGGTGAATAAATGAGGGAAAACGTGAGGAAAAAGTTATTATTTTTTCCGCATCCTCGTCGTCCCATCCTTCGTCCTCGGCCACAAAGTGCGACAAAGTTCATACAGATGCGCACGAGTATATTCGTTATATAAGTTGCGCTGGAATCGGGGAGTTGGTTGGCGCTTGCGAAACGCAACAGCGAACGAGAGTTGTTGCAATATTGTTTCATGGTGAAAACGAGCGATGTACGTTATAAGAGAATCACGAAGGATCGTCGAAAAGCGTTCGATGCTGATGATGCTGGAGAGAATGAGTAGAAATTTCGTTCGGTGATGCAGACTTCGTTTCCTGTTAGAAAATATGATTTGTCAACAACGAATAAGTGCAAGAGGAACAAGTAGAGGCTCGAAGAAATCTGCAATTAATGAAGCTATGATTAACGCGTTTGGGTAGGTACGTGTACACATACGGTCTGTATGCAAAACGGAGTCTCGCCTATGTTGCACGACGTATGTATGTATGTATATTGCATTTAAAAACGACCGAGTCGACGAAGTGAAAGTTTATGGGCGCCTTTTTAATTAAACATTCTTCTCCCGTGCTCCAAACGGATCTGCACTTTGCTGAATGCGCATAAAACAAGACCATCCAAACTCAATTATTATCATGTGCATCATCTTTAACAAATTGTAAATAAAATTAAGAAAATTCAGAAGTCCTGAAAACTAATTGTTCAAATTGACAATTCTTATAAATTAAGTAATTAAAATTCCATTAATAAAACATAAATAATATATTAAATTTTTTAATTTCTAATTAAACTATTAGTTAATAAATTTACAAAATATTTTCTGGACTGATATAATCATAATTCGCATCTCTCACCTTGTGTCACATACATATTTATATAAAATAACAAATTTATTGAATTCTAGAAACTTATTCAATTAATTTGATCCAATTTCTATTAAAATAAATTATTAAAAATAGAAAAGTAATTATCAGATTTAAATCTATTTAAAAAGTCCCATTTCTTTGTTTTTTTTTTATATAATTACGTTTCAATCATTACGTGTATGTCATCTTAAAAGAAAAAGTTCTTTTCTTTTGTTTTGTCAACGTTTAAAAGAATTTCTTGAAGATTTATATAATTTCTTAATCAATATATGTTCTGCCAAACTTAGTAAAAAAATATTTTCCTAAAGTTTTCTATAATTTGATCTACAATTATGTTTCCATCATTATTAATATGTATATTACTCAAAAAATGATTTTTCTTTTAAGTTGAACTAAAAAATAAATCATCAAATAAATTATTTTGATTAATTACTCTTGGCTTTTAATTGTGAATGCAAACATAGTAAGTAATTTTTATAATAAAAAAAAATACGAAAAAGATTTCAATTTATCGCCGAGTTTCACAAGCGGAACTGCATTCATAAACAGTCGTAAAAGAGTCGTAAAACCGAAGGATATTAATTCCGTTTTCTAAATAAATCACATAAAATACAACAAAAAAAACATAATAATAAGAGAAGATGAAGAACAAGAAGCAGTATGTATAAATATATATATAAAGTGGCGATCGAACGTCGGTCGGACAGACGAGAATCCCGTTTTCGGGCCGAGAGAAATTGTTGCAGGTGGATTCGCCGTCCTGACCCGAGGATCTGACCCCGAATCCAATATAATATTTTCACTTTCGCTGAATTTTTCGCATTCCAATCGCATCGAACGAACAGAATATAACTTTTCCTTTTCTTCTCTCCTCCTCAGCCCGAAAAAAAAAAACCAACAACAACAATACTCAACGATAAGTAGAAATGGGATTACGCATCAAACACACCTACTTCATAATAATTCGCGTTTTTTTTTAAATTTCTTTCTTTCTCTCTCTTCTCATTTTTTTTGGGTTGAAATTGCGGCTAGAAAAAGAATGATTTCGTTGATGCCGCAACGCAGCGCGAGGCACACAAAACTTTCAATCTCTAAAACCAGTCGCCGATCCTTCTTCTTGCATTTCACAACCGAACGGCGGCTCTGACATTTGCGCTTGGACCTACATTATACAAATTCTTCGACATTATTATTTTTATTTCATTTCTTTTTATATATTATATAAAATACAAACTCTTTCTTTGATTGCTTGCTTTGAAAATGAACTCAACTGTTTTCTACTGAATGTAACAAACACATTATAGCATGAAGTTAAGGTTTTTCTTTAAACATTATTTTGTTTTGCTTCTTTTCAGGTTGTTGGTCAGCCTTTTCTGTTTGTTAGCTGTGCAAGCAAGGCCCGCGGAAGATGAGTACGCCGAGTACGAGGATGAACCTGCGCCTCCACCAAAACCTACTCCACGTAGCAACATTTTGAAGGGCAGACGCAATCCTTTGGCCGGTCGCGCCGCAAGTGCTAAACCAGCTAGTACCACTACAGCAGCTCCAGTTGAGGTAAGATTTACTAATCCCTTAATCAAATACACAAACTAGTTACTAGTTAGTAGATTAAGATCCTATACTATAGAACTTATAGGCTGTAGTATAGATCATAAATCTATACTTTCTAAAGAAATTAAACAATTTGACCAAAATATTATTAATGATTTACTATATAATTACATTATCTTCAATAGTTGAAATTCTTCAGTATATTTCAATAACAAATGGTGATGATAATGATGATAAATTAATCGTTAATCGTTTATACTCATAAATAGAAACATTGAATAGTTTAGAAATTGTTACGTAAAACATTGTCAAAAATGTAACTTAAACCAAACTTACCAGCTGAAATTTTATAGTATGTTTATAGTATTGAATACCTATGTTCTTGATCATAAATAAATCATTATGATATTCTTAAATTATAGTTTCTATACTAAAAATGTATAAACTTGTTGATTATATAAAACATATACTATATAAAATACAACTTTTTAATAGCTCGATACTTTCTCAACCTATGAATCGAGTTAAATATTCAATGGGTCACAAAATGACAGCTGTCAATGATATACGTCAAAGTGTAAAAAAAATATGACATAAACACAAGATATGTTTCAATATTGAATAACCTCACGACAACGACAACAACAATAAATTAAGCGTTATATCATTCTTAACATTTAGATACGAAAAAGCAAAGAATGCTTGTTTCAAATAAAAAAAAATTGAAAGTTGAACAATCATTTCTTTAAAAATTGATACATTCTGTCTATTATATATGAAAATGTATAATATTTCTCGAATTAAACTTGTTAAATGAAACTTACTTTTAAAAGCCGCAATTTTCAATATGTAAATAAAAAATGTGTATATATTTATGAACCAAAGGACTACTGATTTCTCTACTGACCAATATTGTCCACATCAGATAAAAATTACTGTTAAGATATTCAAAAATTATAGACAGAAATGTGCAGATGATATTCTCTTCAATTAATAAAAAAAAATAAAACATTAGAAATTGCAAAGTCTTCACTATAGAAATTTGCATATCAATCCACTTAATTAATTATATTCTAAAAAAAAAGTATATTTTTTTCTTCGTTGTGATTTGACGTTGAATAGAAATTGCAACCATGGCCTAAATAGAATTTGATATGAAACGAGATCCGTGTAAGTGATCGTGGATCAAAGGTCGATCGATCTGTGCAGACATTCTTTATTCAAATTGTGGTCTGACTTTGAGATGAATAAACGACATTGAATCTATCAATCTTTCACCATTGAAATACTAAGATCAATCAATTAATTCTAATTTCACTGACAGGTGTGGTCCAAAGTCATAACTTTGATCATCAATATTATCGATTATTATTACACCATTCTCGTAACATTGAAGTTATAGGATTATTCTTAATTATAACTAATTATGAAATAAGATTGATTAAGTAGGTTATAGTTTTGTAACTTGACTTTGAACTAATTCAAATATGCATAAAAACAATACAATATAAACTTAAGTTAATGTTAAGAAAATTATAATATGATCAATTAAGAAAATTAAGATTTTTTTTAATCTATTTCGAGATTTTGAAAAAGCAATTTTTAAATAACAAAACAAAAATTTATTTTAATTTTGATTTATTAATAAGAAAACATGTCTTATAGATTTGTTTGTTATATAAACATTATAATAATTGCATAATAATTATAGATATAAAAATATGAAAGAGGGAAAACGCATGAAACTTTGCTATGGGCAATTAATTATTATATAATATCGAAGGTTTAATTATATATTAGAAATTATATCTTGGATAAATCCGCGGATTTGAAACGGTTAAATCTTTGTATTTTCTTTCTAAACAAGTCATATTTTCAAATTAAGTTGAAGAAGTTTATTGTCAGTTTATATTTAAGCTATTTGGTTGAAATTTGTGATGATTCTAATATAATTAAATGTGATCATTATGATTAAGATTATTTGATTATTTGAAAGCAAAAATCTATGTTAAACTGAAAAAAAAGAAGAATCCTTCTTAAAGTTCCAAAATAAGAATGCAACCTACGAAATTAGCATAAAAATTTCTCCGGCATTCCAACGGCGACAAAAGCATCGTTCGCGTTGCGTAATGCGACCGATCTTTCCTCTTGGATCCGAGTGGATTATGCACGATCATCATCCGCGTTGGTGATGGTGAGAGCTCGTCTCCGCGAATCCGGGATTCGATGGTATTAATAAATGCGAGAGAGCGGAGAGATTTCACCGCGACGTTTGCACTTTTCAATATATTTTAAATAATAATCAACAATTGTCTTTGTTTGTTTTTTTTTTGTAGGAAGAGGAGATCGTCGATGAAGATGAGCCCGTCGAAGAGCCCGTTGAAGCAACCCCATCCACTGAAGCGCCTAAGAAGATCAAGGGCGGAGTGAGGCCATTCAGGAGCAACGACGACCTCCTCGCAGCTCTTAAGCGCAGAAGGGAACAAGCCGCCAACAGTAAGATGATCTACAATTCTTAATATTACTTTGGTTTAACATTGCTTTTTCTTTTATTATCAATCTTGTAGTCAAGAGTCAACCAAAGGCCGAGAAACACGAGGAGGAATCCCAGGCCGCCGCCGAACCGGCCGTGAGCAAAGCCCGCGCCACCAGCGGCAGGAAGAGGTTCAACACCCCTAAGAACGTTGAGGCCGCCGCCTCTCAGGATGAACCTGCCACCTCCGCCCCAGTCAGAAGCGGCAGAAGGTTCTCCACTAGGAACTAAAATTTCTCTATCCTAAAACTTAGTTACATTTTTTTTTGCCGTAAAATTATTTTTTATTTTTTTTTTCTGTTTATTTTCTTTCTCCTTGGAGAGATCTTACGAGTGAAACAAAGAAGTAAAAAGTTATCCTTCCTAAAAAGATAAAAAAATATAAAGTCTCCTTAATCCTTACCGAAGGATCCCGCATTGGAAACGTGAAAATCAGTCCATCCGAGTAATTTATTGCGTTTTCTTTGCGGAATTCGTATCTTGTTTACTATGTGTACGATTGAAATAAGACGATCCTTCTTCCCTCCAATCCTTAATGAACACTCCCAAAAAAAGCAAATTGTCAATGAAAAGCTACTAGATTATCCCCTACAATTTTTTTTTCATACTTTCATTTTAAATATTATTTGTTAAATATATTTGTAAATACATTTTGATATAAAAGAAAACTTACAAAACGTTTATTATTTCAACCCTTAAAACTCACAGAAACTAAAACAGCTTGATCATATAAAACTTACTTATAATATATAAATAAAAGAATTATCGACTGAAGTCTTTTTGCCATGAAATATTACAGTTCAGAAAATAAAAACTTGAAGATTTTCAAGTCATCTAATTATCAAATACAAGAATGTAAATTAAAAGTAAACGTTTAAGGTGTAAATATTGTTTTTATGCTAATAAATGTAATAATTACATACTTTGCAACAAATTATAATTATGTGGTAAATCGATGAAAGATAATTTAAATGGTTTAAAAATAAATCATTTGAAGTAATTTTAACTAGAAATAATTTAATTATGAGATTTTGTCTAATTAATCCTTTAATTGAAGTATTAATTAATATTATATAGAATTAGACTAATCTTGAATATATTATATAAGTTATTTATCTAATTAATCAAATAATATTTTAATATGAGTAAAGTAATAACAATTTTTATACTCTAAATAAATAATTATAAAGGATAAATAGTATGGAAATATATTAATCTAAACGTGATTCGTTAATATTGCAAATTATTCAAGTAATCCGTTTTTTGTTTTGATGATATGCGAGATTTATTCCAAAGTCCTTGGAAAAACGTAACTGAATTTACGGTACTTTGTGCAAATTGACATTTACTTGCAATCACATGCAAAACGATTCTAAATACTACAACTATAATAAGTATAAATTCTAAGATGAAATATCTTTCCATTCTTTTCAAATTAAATTTCATTTTAATCGAATATTTTCACTTGATATTGTTACATGTTATTTTTATATTAAAATATTAATTATATATTTAACAGTCTTTTCTTTATTATTTCAAAAAAAAACGTAATAATTAGACCTTAATAATTAATAAGAAACTAATATTTGTTTAGTTTGTTAAGTTATAAGTTTAGTATTTACAAATCTTTATTTGTTCTGTTTCTCTATTATTTCTATAGTTTATTTTTTACATTTGATTCACTATAGTACGGTTTAAAAATATCTAAATTAACAAGATTTTATTAGAGCAAAATGAAAATAAATTAGTACACAAGACTATTATGTTTTTATATAAATAAATGTATTTAGTTCCTCGATTTGTCCAGTTTCAAACAGTCCGGGATATCGGCGCAACCGCACTATATGAGGTATTGCATTATTTGATTATTGCATGTTTCATATTGCATTTAGAGTTCATGACTCACGATGACCTTAAACATAACCATTTCAATACGTTTTTCTTTTTTTGCACGTAATTAAGGTATTAAGTTTTAGTAACGCAATAAACTGTTGGAGTATATTGGGAAATGCCCACGGGTTTTCGTTAATGTCCCAGGATGTGAGCAATGAACGTACGTCCCTGAAGACACACAGAACCGCCTCCGATGTATAATATTTTACTGCATCTCCACTTGCACAATATTATCGTTTAGGTGGTTGTACGAAATGCAAATCTAAAAGGAACATGAGTCAGTGGACATCCTTCGCGGAATGCGCAAAGAAGGCTTGCTCAGTTGCAAAAACAAAAACATATAAAAAAAAGGAACGTTCTATGGCATTTACGAATTTCTCTGTGAGGCGGCGGCTGCGGCGGCGGTAAGAAATTGCGCGGTTGCGTAACAACGCAATTGGATAACGTCGCGACGAAATTATGTAAAAAACTGAGGAAATATTATACGTCGACTGGCGCTAACTGGAAATCAATCGGCCGGTCGTACGGTTCAAGACATTTTCGTTTTATTCGCGGCTGCAAATAATTATCGCGTATGATATAATCGCAACATTGGCGTGATATAACGCCGAAGCGAGTGTACATTTTTTTTTGTACCTGTTAAGTTAACTTGTTTAACGAGAGACCTTCTTCAATAGTTTCAAACATGTAATAATTACCAACAAATGTTATTTAAATTTTTGTTTATTATGTAATCCTTTGTCGTCTGACGGTACTTATAAGTACCGGCACATTTATGTCACTATTTAAATTATAAAGAGACGAGAAACAGACCTAAATTCTTGTTGGTACTTTAATGTAATCTTTATATTGTATACTAAAATGATTTGTTTTGCAATTGGAAACACCAAGTGAGTATAAAACTACATTCAAGTAATACTTGTCACTTCTGTTTAGGTTATTTTTTTTATGTCGTAACGAAAACAAATATACCATGAAATGAGTTTATAAAATAATATTGTTACTAAATATATATATGAAAATTGATCCATTTTTGTAATCTAAATCACTAAAATTTACTTATTATACGATTTAAGCTTATTGTCTTAATTTGCCTGATTTAATTACTACATATTTTTTCATTTAAATTATTATATAAATCTAATAAGAATGTATAGGCAAGTTAATTTTAATGTGTTTTATAAGAATCCAAAGAATTTTTTTTTGCATTTTAACTATATTCAGGTAACAAAGTGTTAACGTTTTTAAGGCTAATTTCATGGTAAATTGCATCATTGCAAATATTAACTTATTCTTATAATTTTGTTTTAAATATAAAATTAGTTTACATTGTGAAAGAATTAGGTAAGATTACTTAAGAGAATTTTGCACTATTATTTAATAAATTAACATAATGTATTTTATTATGCATTATTTCAAGTCAATGATGAAGTAATGATTTTATATGCCCATGAGAGACATCTATGTGTGACGCCTAAAGCAAGGTGACATTCATTTAATTGAGTAATTAAATTTTTAATGGACAAATTAAAAAAAAAAACGTTACTAATAATTTTATAATTTAATTTAAACTAAAGTAAATTACAAATATATGTTATTGATTATCATTCAATGTATAACTTGTAATAAAAAAAAAGTCATAATAAACCTAATCGTTTTTTTCTCATATTTCATTTATTTTTGTTAATTTCTTATAGAATTGAAATGTTATTATTCATCAGTACTTATTATGTAATTATTTAAGTTGTAGCATTACAATAATATAAGTTTTTTTCAATGTTAGTAAAAACTATTAATTAATTATGCAATTGTTTGTAAATTATGTTGTCACTCTAGAATATGATATATTATTACAATGTTGGTAAGCACTATGAAATTATTATGTAATTATTTTATAGGTTAAGTTATTTCTACACGGTAAAATATGTTATTTCAATGTTGGTTACTATTATTATCTCATTATTCAATTGTATACAGTTTAAATTGAGAGATTCAAATGCATTTTTTCTTTTTCAATTTCAGAAAACACTAATTACTTAATCTTTATAATTCTACTTGTCAAGTAAATATATAGAAATATTGATTAAATGTTGAGAAATCATTATATAAGGTCTATAGTCTTTTAGATATGAGGATATATGCAATAAATTATGTTTATTATTATGTAATTATTATTCAATTATTTACAGTTTAATCAGATTCAAATGCATTCTTTAATTGAATTTATAACTACTATTCAATTTAGAATTCCTTTTGTCAATTTGCAATATAATTAATACTAAAAGTGATGTGCAATTATTATGCAAATGCGGAAATATTATACTTCATTAAATTAACTCTTTGTATGTATGAACATATAAGCATAATACATAATTTTTTTATGTTTATTTTGTAATTGTATTTTTGAATAATTTCAAATATTTATACATTAAATTGACACCATTGAAATATTACGTAGCATATTTAAATGTTAGTAATTATAATGAATTTCTTATGAAATTGTTAGCATTTAATGTTGTTAGAATTTAAAGCATTTTTTTATATCAATTTTAAAAAGTACATAATATCAATTAAAATGCTAATATTTATAATTATAATGATCAATTTACATTCAAATGTTGTGAAATTATTATATAATTATGTATATTTGAAGTTTTCACTATATGACAGAATGTGTCATTTGAATGTTGGTAAGTAATTGTAACCTAACAAAGTAAAATATCAAAGCAATGTTGGTACGCGTCATTAATTTATTGTACAATTGTTTATAGTTGACAGTTGACAGTTTTTGACATAAAGTGTAGTTTCAGCATTGGTAAATATTATTATCTTATTACGTAAACATTTCTAGTTGTCAGTTTATGTATTGTTATGAATTACAAAGTTATTGTTCATTAATTATACAATTAAATGATTTATGGTTGATATGGAAATAAATGTAATTTGAATTACCAATATACATGTTATCTTGTTAGATTGGTAAATTTAGCATTTCCATTTCGGCTGATGCAATTGTTATTTTATTAATGGCATTGTTTATGGCTTTTCGACTTTCTACTGTTGTTTAATTGCATTCCATGCAGCGACGTTACATAAACCTATCTCAATTGGCGAAGCTTAGGTTAGGTCATGAATGATCGTTTGAAAGACACTTTCCTCTTTGCAAATGCGACGTTACTCGCAACAAGCAAGCATCATCATAATCATCATTCTTTTCACGAGAGCCATCCACTTATCCTACATAGTTATTGTTAGTTCAATAAGTGCATGAGAAACCGGATGAGTCGGTCGATGTTCCTTTTCAGATTGCCCATTGTGTGTACAAAGTTAGCATTCGGTGAGCGAACGCAAACCCAAGTAAATATATATAAATACATGTGTATGTATATATATATATGTATATAAATTGAGAGATGCGACTTTCGCTCACTTTCTCCGTCCATCTTGTTTTCATTTAGGGTGCGCTATAACCGGTGAATCATCATCCAACATCATCATCGAAGTCATCATTATCATCATGATCGCATCACG